CCTAACACTTTTGTAACCATTAGGTGAATCTTTTGGAATGTACAAACAGACTCCTAATTCTTACTGACCAAAAGGCTAAGAATGCCATCAGATAACATCTGAAGCCTATAGTTGAGATTTCCCCCATTTTTCTGTGACCCACCTACCCAATCTTTCTACCACTATATTTGAGAAGTGCCTTGATTTATGATTTCCTTTGTTCTGTTACTACAAAACTTCATGGAACTGTTAGCATATTGAAACATGAAACTTGGGGTAATCTGAAACTATGTTCCCAGGCCATGGTCATTCATATTTGGTTCCAGAATAAATGATCTTATCTCCTTTGAGGTGAGAGTTATGCTTTGGTGTTGACAGTTAGTAAGCACCTTAGTTTTATTTATCTAGTCAAAAGCACAATGCATACACATGGTAGAAATGGTTCCAGGAGCAGGGAAGAATATACAATAAAAAGTAAATTTCTTCTCTCCAAACTTATAGTTCCTCAGCCTCCTTCCCCAGAAACAACCTGTAGCAATGGCTTCTTTTAGAAACAGTCCTTGCCAAAAACTGTCACATACATCCTTGCCATCTTTTCTAGGTAGAAGCATACTAAACATAATGCTCTAAACCCAAACTCTTCACTCAGAAGCACGTCTAGAAGATACTACACATTAGTGCCTACAAAACCTTTGCTTCCATTTCACAGCTGCAGAAAATTCTACAATACCCTGCACAGTCCTGTGAGGCAGGCATCTGGGCTGCATGCAGCCTTCTGCTACCACAAGCAAATCTGTGGTGGTCCTGCAAGCTGGTAAAGCTCTGCATGTGGGCTAATATTCTGTAAGTGCACATATGCGTTAATGTTCTGTAAGTGCGACATATGCGTTAAAGAACATATACATTCTGAATCTGCCCAAATACCCTCCAAATAGGACATCCCAGACAGTGCTAGTTTCCCCCACAACTCAGGCAAGCATATCTAATTACTGTCATAACTTTCAATTACTTAACTAGGACAGAAAGTTGAGCATCTTTCTTTCAGTTCGTCATTTGTTTTTAATTTCTATTACTGCTATTACCACTAACCACCATTTCCTACTGAGTTGATACTTTTCCTACTGATTTGAAATAATTACTTTCAACTAAAAAATTGTCCATTTGTCTTATTACAAGTATTTCTATTTTTTAACTTGTCTTTGTCTTTGTTTTATAGTGTGGTTTAATCATGAAGATGTTCTAAATTTTTATGTAGTCATTATCTCTTTCTTTTGTGCTTTTGGGATTTGTGTCCTAATTGGAAGGACTTTCCCCACCCTCGGCTTCTTTAAAACAATCATTTTCTAATACCTTTGTGGCTTGATTTTTATATTTAGGTCTTTGATCCAACAGGAATTTACTAAAGTGGTAAGGCAAGTATTTCCTCATTTATTTTCCAGATTAAGTAGCTGCTCTAAAAGCCTTCCAGTGAACAACCTTTCCTGCTACTTTCATTTTAAAGATAATTTTGCCAGCTGCAAAGCATTTCACAATGGAATATATTTCTAGAAAGATCTGTATTTATGAGAACCATACTCTTCAACTATCCAACACATTAGTAAATGCTATTTACTGTTTGTGTTGATGACAATTACTCTGAATGGAAAGGTAATATGGAAATGATGGGACATACCTAGAAGTAAAGACAGAACAACTTACTGTAATTTTACCCTATGGAACTTGCAATATAGTATTTCACACTGTAGTGCAATGCACTGCTAGGGAACATTTATAGAAGAAAAGCTTTATAATTCATTATTCTATCTTCCCTTTTTATGATGTTTAAAAGAGAAAGTGGCAAAATACTTTTTCCTGAGTTTTCATCAATAAATTCAGATAAAACACTATCAATACATTGATTAATATAATGATCAATAATATACTAACACTACTCAGAGATAGAACACTATTAGCAAGAACTCACTAGGAAGTGGCTATTCATGTATCTTGATACCTACAGGCATCAAGCTTTTGGAAGACAACAGTACAGGGCACCATTCCAAAAGGCTGGGTCAGAAGCTCCAAAAGTTCCAAGCTAGACAGAGGCACAAAACACAGATTGCTAAAGTCTCGTTTCAATGATGTTTAAATGTATATTATAGGTCTTTACTCCTTCTACAGTGTCAGATAAAAGCTGAGGAAATGGTGATCTAGCAAATTTGTATATAAAAATACATGTTGCAGGGCTGGAGAGATGGCTCAGTGGTTAAGAGCACTGATTGTTCTTCCAGAGGACCTGGGCTCAAATCCCAGCACCCACATGGTGGCTAACAACCACCCATAACTCCAGTTCCAGGCGATCTGATACCCTCTTCTGTCCTCTGTGGGTACTGCACAACATGGGTGCACTTATACATATGAAGGCAATACACTCATACACATTAAATAAATAAGATGAATAAATATATATGTTGCAATTACAGTATTTTCATTTTAACAGCTGCACTGTGTACTGTTACTACTGCTTAAAAATATTGTATGGACAGAACATTAAGTCTGATTTCAGGCAGAGAATTATTCTTTATAGATGAATACAAGACTAAAAATTAAATTTATAACATCTTTTTATGAAAGATTCGGGCTCTGAACTCTTCTGTCCCATCTTTATGAGTTCTAGTTCTTTTTGGATCTACTTTTCATGCCAAGTTGTGGAGTAAACTCTTATTTCTAGAATTTTATAAGTGGGAACATAGGATCAGGGAAGTGATAGTATAGGTGGCCCCAAACAGAATAAAAGCTAACCAAAATAATAATAGGCATTTTAAAAGGAACATCCTGTGGAAGTTATAATGGAATTTGCATTTTAAAATTGTAAATGCTTTTAAAAAGGCAGTGGAAGTTGAAAAATTAAGACCATGTCAAACACAGTAAAGACCTAACTCGGAGGATGAGAAATGAACTAGCTTTCCACAGGAACTCAATACACAACATTTGTATATTAAATTTCCTGGAAAGAGAACAGATTTCAAAAATTAGAAACTGAACATTTATTTTGAAACTGAATTTCTGTTCTAAACAAAAGTCAACGTTGTGTCACTAAGAGTCACTTCCCCTCTGTCTGTGTCCCAATCTTGTTAACAGAACTAACGGTCTCAAAGGCTCCCAAGAAACCTCAGTCCACTCTGACCTTCCTCACACCTCTAACATCTGTGTCATCCTTCCCATCCCACAACGTCTCCCATCCAGGAGTCATTCTTGATTCCTTCTCTTCTTCCTTCCCACATCAGGATTTCCATCAGCAAATCCTCCAAGATATATATAATCAGAATTTCACTACTTTCTCACATATCATTGCTGCCACAAGTCCAGCCACCAACATCTCCTCCAGTTTACTGACTCAATTGGTTTCCTTACTTATGCTTGTGCCCTCCAGCTTCAGTCTATTTTGAGCAGCCTGTAACCAGGGCACTCCTCAGCTTAAAACCAACTTCCAGTGGTTTCCCAGATGAGAAAAAGCAGAAGTCTTTACAGGAGCTGACAAGGTCTTAGAGATCCAGCCCCATAGGCCTGCCACCACCCATCACTGGTTGGCCCTCAGGTACTTTCACACTTCCCCATGGAGCTCTGTGCTGGCCACACTGGCCTCCCTACCAGGTGCGGGCTTCTCTCTTCTACTGTTTGTGCAGATGGTTTTCTCTGCATGGAAGGCTTGTCTCCTAGATACAGCATTGTCTAGTACTTCCTTTGGGTTTTTATACTAAGATTATCTTCCCAATAAGATCTTTCTGAAACTTCACCAAGCTTGCCTCAACAAACCAAATTCTCCTTTTCTATTTTGAACTCCCTAGTACATACTATGTATTTTACTTACATATCTAGTTCATCCCGAGTCTCCCAGGTTGAATGAAGGCTCTACACATTGTAGGGATTTTGGTGTATTCCCAATGCTCAGAAGAGTGAGCTTGCCTAGTATGTGCAAGGACTGAGGTTAAATACTCAGTGTGTGTGTGTGACTATAACACACAGCAGGGGCTCAATGAATTGTAACAAAAGAATGACCACAACTTGGGCTCTCATTGTATCTTTTTTGGTCTCCTGCCAACAACCTCTATCCCCTGAAATCAATCCTGCTTACTTACCTAACCCAGGTTTGATACTATTGCTCCCTGATTAAGAGTCTAAGTGGCCTCAACCTACACAATCTATGGGATAGATGACGAGCCCTCAGAATCTCACCTCATCACTTTACAACCACTTTTACTCCTTAATCTGTAGGCCTCCATCTAAATGCCAGTGATTTAGGTCTTTCTTTTTTATAGTTATAAAAAGGAATTCATTTGGTTATCCAGGTCAGCTTCAGTCTAAGCCATGGAAGAAAGAGTTCTATAATTTCTGCTGTTGTTTCTGTTGGAAAAATACTTCTCAACAATTCTCAAAGTCATATCCATGGACCTTAGTTTGAGGCTTATCAATTTAAGAAACATTTTAATTAATAATATAATATCTTTAATTGCAGATAATTCTTGGTAAAACAATTTTAATATAATGATCAAAATCTTAAAATCTTCATTGTACCTTGTACCCCTCGAGAGTAAATCCACAAATTCCAGTTGCGGAAATGCTGCTATACAAAAAATGAAACTGCTTGCCTAGGCAGAGGAGGCCTCCATATGGCTTCACTCCTGCTCTGCACCCTGGGGCAGTTTTATATCTCTACTATACCATTAACACTATTTCACATATATACACATGTATGTATGTATGTATGTATGTATGTATACACACACTACCTCATGTACTATGCTTTTATTTTCTCATAGTTCCTATAGCTCCTTGATAGCAAGAAGATTCATTTGTTCTCTTTATTTCTGCAACTAGTGTAGTGTCTTCCACACGACAACAAACTGAGCTAATCATTAAACAGAGTAAAAAGAGCAAAAGCTTCCATACATGTGACCCTCAAACATATAACAAGATGAATAGCATGCTTACAATGAAATAGTGAAGTGTGAGGAAGTTTTAGAGTTATTTACAGGATTTACCTTCTTTTAAGTGTCAAGTCTGCTACAGGTATGCATCTCAGACCAGTTCCCAAAACCATGAGAAAAGATGTCAGAAGCACAGTAATGCGAAGACCTGAAAAGAAATGAAATGTCCAGGTGAGTTTCTAATTTCCTGAAGTGAGCCCAATGCTAATTTAAGAATACATTTTTCATTTAACCAAACCAATATGACATTCTAACAGTATGACTTTTCTCTAATGCCCCCAATGTGGGAAATACAACAACTGTAAACTGAAAATGGGGTCTTTCTCACTTTGCTAGAAAACTGGAATGATCATATCAAAGACAGAAGAAATTCTATTACCTCTAGTTTTTCAAAATCAGTATCTGGAATGTTTGTTCAGATATACTACTAAAATCCAGAAAATAAATTTAAAAGACTATTTAAATTTTATATCTTGGGGCTGGAGAGATGACTCAGTGGTTCAAAGTACTTGCTGCTCCTGAAGAGAGCTCAAATTCAGTTCCCAGCACCCACACTGGGGATCAACACCCTCTTCTGGCTTCTATGGTTACCCACACACACATGTATACACAATACACACACATACACATACATACACACATACACACACAGAAAACTTTAAAAAATTATATTGCCAATGTAAAAATTCTAATTTTCAAATACAAACTGCTAATAAAAACTATATCATCACTAAGACTACTTTAAGGTGACAGGTTATTACTTTCAGTTTTCTTAAAAAAAGACAATTGGCCAACTGTATATTATACTTGATAATCAGGAAAAATTAATGTTTGTTACAAGGTCACAGAAAGTGGTCCTTTATAACTCTGATTATTAATACATTAATACAATAATAGTCTTTTTAATATTTTATTTATTATTTTTATTTTATGTGTATAAGTGTATTGCCCGCATGTATGAGAGTGCACCTGTGTTGTACAATGCTGCAGAGGTCAGAAGAGGGCTTTGGATTCCCCTGGAACTGGAGTTAAGGACAGTTCATAGCTGCCATGTGGGTGCTGGGAACTGAACCCGTGTCCTCTGCAAGAGCAGTTAGTGCTCTTAACTGCTAAGCCATCTCTCCAGCCCCAATAGTCTTAATTTGTCTTGGTTTATCAGAAAAACTTATAAAATTATGGTATGGGAATGGAGAGATGGCCTTGTGATTAGGAGGATGTACTATTCTTGTGGAGGACTCAGGTTGGGTTTCCAGCACTCACATGGTGGCTAACAACTGCCTGTAACTCCAGTTTGAGGTGATCCAACAACCTCTTCTGACCTCCAAGTGCACCAGGTACGAATATGGTACATGTACATACATGTAAGTAAAATACTCATTCCCATAAAATAAAAAAATGTCTTAGAAAAAAAATTATGCTCTTTTTTAATTTAAAAAGAAGAAAAAAATGATGCTGTTTAAAAGTTAAAATCACTCTGCTTCCCTGGGCCTGCACGACAAATTTTAAACTCTCCAGGGTAAGTTGATAGTGCTCTCTGTGCCTTGACTCCCCCAGCCTCATTCACCCTCCCATCTTCCCTGCCCATCTCGCCTCCTAGCCTGAGTCCTGTCCCATTGGTTGTTTCAGTGTCCCAGACACCGGGAGAACCACCACTGCTTCCTGATGCTTTGCATCCAGACCAACCCAGTTCCTTCTGGGGTCCCCAGGAGCCCTCTGGGCCTGGTTCCACCC